TTATAGGCAAGCTTTCCTCAGGACACTGTAAATAATCATAAGGTAATGTTTGGTAAGTGGTAAATTCACCCTGTTGTTACATTGTTACATTGTTATTGTCATGGACCCTTATGGGGTCAGAGGTATGTATTGTTTTCTGATATTGTTGGTAATGTTACATTCAACTTTTTTGGACGAGTCGTTCGACCCTTTAGACGATTTTGGCGGGTCATTACATTGATGTTTTGGTATGTGTGTATGTATGAGGGGTATTCAATAACAATGAGGTTGTATAGGTCAGTTGCCTGCATGGGGACGTGCAGTGTTTAAGGAAGGGAGAGTGTAACGACTTGGCTCTTCCAGCACTAATATAAATTTGTGTATCTTACTCTAGTCCTGGTTAACGAGGGATCAGTAGTAAATTTAACTGTCACTATAAATAGTTAGAAGTAAACTAAAGTAACCGTGATTTCTCATATTACATTATTAGCAGTTGGGCGGTCGGCCAACTGGTCAATATACTCAGCCTACTGTAGAATCAATGCGTGTATATAAGGGTAGCTGTAATTCTCACCGTAGTATTGTAAAGTACTGTAGCAACACGATCTGTTCATTAACTGTGTTGTGGGCTGGTTGTAGTTCATTATCATCATCCTTGTCATGGAATGGATAAGACGAGTCATGGCGGAAGCTTACCAGTTTGCTGCGACAATGCTTAAGGCAGCTGCGGCGCGTCAAATGAAGGGGTATAATAAAAAGGTAAAAGAAACCATATTCAAAGAAGGGGATTTAGTGTGATATTATTACCCTCCGAAAGCAAAAGAAAAATTAAACAAAGGTTGGCCAGGGCCGTGCCTTATCACAAGAAGGCCATCACCTGAATTGGCTCAGATAAGCATTAAAACGAATGGGAAGAACCGCATGGTTCACCTGGATTCGTTAGCTGTCTACAATGGAGGGGATCAGGGGAGCCATGCTGCTGAAAATTCAGGAGGAACGGGGAACGAGGACCAGCAGCATAGCGAAGCAGGCTGTCAGGGATGCACAGGAAATGACAGGAAATACGACAGCTTTGAGCAAGAAGATCCCTTGGCAGGCATCGATAGCTGGGCGGAACAAGAGCAAGGGTTGGACACAGGTCTTGTGCCTCGGCATAGTGAACGCGCGAGAAAACCTGTCCAACGTTTGGATCTGTAGGGGTTTCGATAGAGCGATGTAACAAACTATTTCGGCCAATGTAGCAACGCAAGAGTTTTGCAAACGGATTGTGGGGCAGCAGCGAAAGGAATCCGACGTCTAGTGATGGCTAGTCTCGCCGTTGTCTCCAATGGGCGATACCGTCGAGTGGGCAAAGGTTGAGTGAGTGCTGGATGTTATGGTTTCAGTCATCTACTGTTGTCGTCATAGAGAGGCATCCGGGATGCCTGCTCCTAAAGGAGACGATCGCGAAGGACGCTACCTCAAAAATGCCCTTAGTTTGTGCTAGGTGATTAACCGAGAAGGGTTAAGTCACAGTGAACAGGGAGTCACAGTAGAAGGATCACGCTCGGGGATAGAGCGCTGTCTGACAAAGTAGAGGAAACAAATGAACAATGAGCTGTTCAAAATATGTACAGCACGACGAAAATATATGCGAGCTACAGACCGAAAATGAACGATACGCTAAAAGGGGGGCTATACATCGGTGCGATGAGTTCGAGTTGTGCGTTAAATTACGTGCTATATGTGCCACAGGCACTGAATGTGATAACGTGCATACCCACTAGCGAGTTTCTGTTACAGAGACGATGGCAAACCTGTACATGGAAGAGGAGGCTGCCGCTGCTGCTGCCGCTGCAGAGATACTGATGGCGGAAATGGAGGACGACAACAAGACACCACTGTTTGAGCGACCATCCCCAGTGGAAGAGCTCAGCGAGGCGGAGGCCATGCTGCAGGACGGAACGTTCAATCTTCTGCCTCAGCTGCTCTCCCCCATGTCCGACAGCTTTATGGAGGAGGCAGCTGCGAGCAAGGAGAACGAGGCCACCGCGATGCCAACATCACTTGACAACTACCGAATACCTTACAAGTGTAAATTCCCGGGGTGCGGTACCTCGTGCAAGGAACGGCGGTACTTGCACCGGCACTTCGAGGAACATCACATCAAGTTCTACCTGGGGTACCGCTGCGAGAGGTGTGGGTTTAAGGCGCCCCGATTGAACAGTATGCGTGGCCACCTCGCTACTGTTTACCGGTGGCCCAAACCAGACCAGCCACGCCTCTCCACCCAGTGGTTAGAGCACGACGACGAAGAAAAGATAGATTGGGAATTGACCCATGCGCCTCCCGGTTTCCGGTTGCGTGGGGGGGCAGAAGAGAGGCTATCGAGAATGAAGAGACCTACGCCACCGGAGAGACGGGTAATAAAGAGACAATCTAGACGTGGTCTCCACGAGGAGGACCGGCAGCCCTTGAGGTCCTTGGTCATGGAGACACAATTCTCATCGGTCGGCACCCGAGAGGTGTATCGGGAGCGCCACCAGGCAGTTAACAGGAAGGCCCACCGGAGCCACCCGTACACCGTAGTCACTTCGGCCAAGTCTCATCCGGCCGAAGAAGGCGCACGGCAGTCGGAGGTACCGGTGGGACCAACTGTACCCACGAAAGGGGAGAGGAAGCAGGAGCCAGCCAGCCAGAGCCCGGCGACGCCGGTGACGATCGGCGCCAAAGTGAGCCAAGCAGACGTCCTCGCCACGGTGGGGAAGATCCCCACCAGAGGGTGTAGGCGACACTCCGGCTGCCCTGAGATCGGCGTGCAACGATATCCGCACGCGGATCCCTCACGATGACGCCATCGTCACCGACGCAATCTGTAAGATGTCGGCGGCCCTATGCCGGCAAGAAGACGCCCGCCGAGCATACGACGCCATAAAAGACGGCCTCCTGCAGCGGGAAGCAGAGGAACGCCGCAAGCAGAGGCAGGAGGAGGTGGCGACCATGGCTCAGGTGAGCAGGGAGTTGAAGAAGATAGGCCAGGAGAGGGACGAGATGAAGGAGAAATTGGAGAAAGCTTCAACCCCAGCTACCTCAGAGGACAGAAGTACCTGGTCGCCGTATTCGACGAGGAGGGACTGCCACTCT